GGGGAATTCACCTTGCCAATGTAGTCGTTGATGGGGGTTCCTTCATCCTTGTCGTACACCTCCACTTCGAGAACGGCGTGCTTTGGAACGTTCTTGACAGACCACTTTTCGTTCCACACGGGTGTCAGCGTTTCTGATTTGACCGAGGAACTGTTGGTGAATGTTGAGTAATTAGAAGTGTAAATTTCGCGCAAACACCGACATGAATTTGATCTCGTCATCCAAGTTTGCGACAAAGAACGGGTCGGCTGAACCGACAACGTCCATCTTGGGTAGACCTGGATACAGTGAGACAGCGCGCACAAGCATCGAATCGTCGACGTACCATTGGCTCCAATGAAGCGTATAGTGACATCCACGAACGCATCTGGCCCGTGGTCCATCAAGATCTCTTGAGCGCGGAGCTTGGACTCGTCCTTCTTGGAGGAGAATTTTGACTTTACATTATGACCCGCATTTCTCAGTGTGCCAAATAAACGCGACATTTGGTGGGGGGAGAGTGTGACAAGGGTGAATGTTGATGGCTTTTGGACTGAGCGCCCTTTTATAAGTGACGTTGCTGAGTGATACGAAAATAGCTTGGCCTCGAGCGTAGACGCCGATACAGTCCCCGTCGAACCCAAAATCCGGCCACAATTTCAGGGATTCATCAAACTCGAGCGCGATATTTGCACAGGCAGCCAATCCATCGGTGATGATATCCCGGTGGCTGTTCGGTGAGTCTGGCCCGGTCGCTAATATTTCACAAAACAGCTTCAACTAGTTCGGTGATTAAAATGCACATTTCCATCCATCGTCTCTAACAATATCGCTCATTCGTTGAAGAATTCCAACGGAACATCATCCGTCTGGATAGCTACATATCGCTCAGCCTGTCCATTCTCGTCCCTCTTTCCCTCGTCGGTGAACAGCGAGTGGAACACGACATCCTCGGTTCCCTGTTGGTCAAATCAGTCGTGTTCAGTAGCAAGGACGTGGAAGTTGCTCACCCTGTTTGGGGGGTCGTGAATCCTGACGTGAATGAAACCTTTCCCATTCTCGTCGTCGATAGCAGGTAGCCTGATCTTGCCCAAGAGGATGACTCCATAAGTAGTGGGACCTGCTCTGACCGCTACGAGGTCCTTGGACACATCAAAATTGACCAAATCCTTGTCAGAGATTCCAGCTGCACGGGACCACATCCTAAGAACAGAATCGTATCAGAATACATTATAGTCATACACAAGTTGTGCTCGTGACTCGAGATGTGGCATAGGTATTCGCGATGTGTATCAGGATAAGGGCTGGGCCTGCGTAGATGAGGTGATACCGAATATCACATACCTAGGTTCATGACCATCCCATCTCTTCCTGCTAGCAATAATCTCTTGCTTGATCTTTGGTTCAACTTGTTGGAAGGCCTCAATCGCTTTGTCTTGAGGGGGATGGGCTTCGTTGAAGGTGACGGTGTCGGTACTAGCTATAAGAGATGGAACGATCAGTGTGCAAAAGTTGGAGTCTACATAATAGCTCACCCATAGCTTTTGTCTGTCCTTTCTGGTTGTAGTTGGTGAAGAAGGTGGCTTGG